ATCAGAGGACAAAAACAGCCCAAATGAAGCAATATTTAGAGGTCAGCCCCCAAAGACACCCTGCAGGAGAGAGAATATTGAAGGGGCAAACTTAGTCTGGCCAGCATGCTTTCCAAAACATTCTATTTGTACTAAAGACAGATTTTTTTATCTTGTAACAAAGGAGCCAAACTGATATGCCCCATATAATAGATAAGAAGCTCAAAGAATTGCCTGGCATGTGTGAAGCCTGGGTTCAATCCTCAGTTTGCATATAAATAAGTAAAAGATCCATTTACAACTAAAAATATGTATTAAAAAAAAGATAACAAGCTCAAAGAGGTAAGGTTACTTCCTGAAGGTCACATAGATAATACGTGTAGAATTCTAAAACAAATTTAATAAATGTAAAAGCCTGCAAGACTTAAAACACATCCAGTACATGTGTATATATACACAAAACACTGAACAAGAATACACAGCCTAAAAGGAATGCAGTGTGTTATATGAGTCATCATTGGGGAAGAAAAAGCTCATTTGTAAACTGGAGGTAAGAGAATTACTTAGATATTTGAGTGGGAAACAATTTAGATAAATTACAACATAAACCTAAATCCCAAATTGATTCAGAACTAAACTGTCAATATCACAAAATATTTACAGACCTTTATAATAGAAAAATAAACTTTCTCAACATGTTAAATCCAGAATCCTAATCAATGTGAAGATTAAGTCTTTTCCTTTAGATGAGAGAGATTTTTTCCTTCCAATTACTCCCAAAACAACCATTGTTAGGAAACTTCTGCAGGGTGTGCTCCAGCAAAAGAAGAGTATAAAGCAATAGAGAGGAAAAGAAGATCCAAAGAAATATCTGTGCTCATGTTCATTGCAACAAAAGCAACAGCTAAGAAATGGTAACAATCTAAATGGGCATCAGCTGATGAAGAAAAAAAATATAGGGACCATGGAATACTATTCAGCCATAAATAAATGACATTCTGCCAGTTGTGACATGGATAGAATAGGTCATTATGTTAAGTAAAATAAGCAGGCTCAGAAAGACAAGAACCTCATGATCTCATTCATACATAGAATATAAAAAATAAATGATTTCATCAAAGTTGAGAGTAAAATGTTGGTTCAGAGATTGGGAGAATGAGCAGGGGAACAGTAGGGAGAGGGTGATCATTGGGTTATAGTGAGACAGGAGCAAGAAGTTCTGGTGTGCTGTTTTGCACAGTAGGGTGCCATGCATGACATTTATTTCAAAAAGCTATA